CGGAGTGAGGCTCCAACTAAAAAAAAAAAGAGCAATTGTTGCTGTTGTGAATAGTGCTACCACAAACATGCATATGCAGGTGTCTTTTTTGTAGAATGATTTGAGTTCCTCCGGGTATATTCCCAGTAGGGGGATCGCTAGGTTGTATGAAAGATCAATTTCTAGTTCTTTTAGGAATTGCCACACTTTTCCATAGAGGCTGAACTTGTTTGCATTCCCACCAGCAGGATAGCAGCATTTCCTTTTCTCTGCATCCTTAGCAGCATCTGTTGTTTTTTGTTTTTATTAATGATGGCCATTCTTACTGGGGTTAGGTGGTATCTCAATGTGGTTTTGATTTGCATTTCTCTGATAATTGTTGAGACTGAGGACTTTTTCAAGTGTCTGTTGGCTGCCCATATGCCTTCTTTTGACAAGTGTCAATTCATGTCTTTTGCCCACTTTTTAATGGGGCTGGTTTTTTTTTTTCCTTTTGGCACGTTTCAGTTCCTTGTAAGTCCTGGATGATAGGCCTTTGTCAGATATATAGTTAGAAAATATTTTTTTCTCGTTCTGTGTGGGCTGTCTCCCCATTCTCTTGATGGTTTCTTTTGCTTTGCAGAAGCTTTCCAGTTTAACAAGGTACCACTTGTCTATCTTCTCTCTTAGTACATCTGGGGTTTTGATCAGGAATTGGTTGCCTATTCCAATAAAGGTGCCTCCTGCATTTTCTAAGATACTTATAGTTTGAGGTTTTACGTTTAGGTCTTTGATCCATTTAGAGTTGATTTATGTATGGTGATAGGTAAGGGACCTGTTTCAATCTTTTGCATGTTGTCAGCCAGTTTTCCCAGCACCATTTACTGAATAGATTCTCCTCTCCCCAATGGTTGTTGATGGAGAATTTGTTAAAGATGAGCTGGTTGAGAAATTGAAGTTTTGCTTCCGGAATCTCTGTCCTGTTTCATCGGTCTATATGCCTGTCCTTATACCAATACCAGGCTATTTTGATTATTGTAGCCTTATAGTAAAGTTTAAAGTCTGGAAGTGTGATACCTCCTGCTTTGCTTCTTTCGCTGAGGATTGTTTTGGATTTTTGTGGTCGTGTGTGTTTCCATATGAATTTCTGTATTGTCGTTTTCAGGTCTTAGAAGAATGCTGCTGGTAATTTAATGGGTATTGCATTGAATCTGTAGATTGCCTTTGGTAGGATGGACATCTTAACAATGTTGATTCTCCTTATCCATGAGTATGGAATATTTTTCCATTTGTTTGTGTCTTCTTTGATTTCTTGGAGCAGTGTTTTGTAGTTTTCATCGTAAAGTTCTTTCACTTCTCTGTAATAATCAGTAATCTATCACAGAAACAAAGAACTGAATACCACATATGTTCTCACTCATAAGCATATCCTGAACATTTACCATAATACTGTAAGGAAGGAATTGATAGTAGCCAAAAACTGCCAGAAGAAGGGGATGGAGCACATAACATCAGTAAGAGTACCTGATCTCAAACCAGGCAAATGGGAACCAAAGGGAGGCCCAAACGTATATGATGACCACTTGTATACCTAATCCTGTATTATACTTTTTTTTTGAGTTGGAGTCACTCTGCCGAGGCTGGAGTGCAGTGGCATGCTCATGGCCACCCCAGTATCGACCTGCTGGGCTCTAGCGATCCTCCCACCTCAGCTTTCCAAGTAGCCGGAACTACAGGCATGTGCTACCACATCCAGCTAATTTTTTATCTATTGTAGAGATGAGGTTTCACCAAGTTGCCCAAGTTGGTCTCGAACCCATGGGCTCAGGCAGTCCACTAGCCTCGGCCTCCCAAAGTGCTGAGCCACTAAGCCTGGCCCTGAATTGTACTTTTAGAAAAGAGAGAAAGAGAGAGTTACTGGAGCCCCTCACCACATGGGCTCGGTGTGATCTCTGGGGTCGTCAGGCATCTTGCCAAGTGGCTGTTCTATCCTCATAGTCAGGGTTACCACCGAGGTGAGCAGTGCCCTCGTTCACTCATGCGCCCTCCATCTCGACTTGCCTCTGTGTTTCGAGCATTTTCTCATTTCTCGGCAGAGGACAGAGGATAGACCAGAGTCAGCAAGAAAGATCTCAGAACAGCCACTCAGGCTTGGTCAGGCACCCTTCTCAGGGTGGGCAACCACAAATGTCATAAAGTGGGCTCCTACCAGCCTGCTGTATCCAAGTGGACTCTCCAGGTGGGCTCTGAGCCCCTGGCTTTGCCCGAGCAGGGAGGTAGCCAGATGGTGAAACGGGAGTGGACTGTCCAGGCAGTCACAGCCCTTGTGTCTGGGGCTCTAGGTCTAGAAACTGCAGTGGGATGAATGGTAGTCTTCAGGAGGACACAGGCGCCTCCATGCAAGTGACACTATACACTGACCCAGCACAGCACCCTTTGTTGCTGCTGCCAACAGTGGGCTAAATTTAGTTATCAGCAAGGAACCAATTCATCCCAGCTGGATCTGGGTATCTGTTTCCCTTCTCCCTCTCTTAATTGCTCTTCGGCCTGTTTTTATTTTTAATTCTTCTGCTTTGTGCGTGTTTAACTGTACTAGCCACCTCAACTCTTTGTTTGTGGGTTTTACATTTTTTGGATGCATTTAGGCTATGTATCCTAAATAACTGTGAAATCTAGAAGTTGCACTAGGCCAGACGTGGTGGCTCAAGCCCGTAATCCCAGCACTTTGGAGGCCAAGGTGAGGGGATTGCCTGAGCCCACAGGTTTAAGGAACAGCCTGGGCAACTTGGCAAGACCCCATCTCTACAATAAAATCAAGAAATTAGCCGGACATGGTAGAATATGCCTATAGTTCCGGCTACTTGGAAGGCTGAGGCAGAAGGATCACCAGAGGTCGACGCTGGGGTGGCTGTGAGCATGTCCCTGTACTTCTGCCTGGGCGATGGAGTGAGACTCCAACTCAAGGGAAAAAAAAGTTGCACTGAAGCAACCAAGTCAAGCCAAAAGTGACAAAAGGCTGTGATGGCCAAAGGATAGGCCACAGACTCTGTACATGAACTTGGAACTGAGTGCAAATGCAAACGCTCTGCAGAAATTATGCAAACTGAGGACGAAATCCTCAATGACTCGATCACTTACTTACTCTGTGAGCCATCGCCCTCTGATGCGATAGTGTCTGCTCTGAAGGGCTAAATGCCTGAGGTCCTCGCTGGCCCCTGGGGACACCTCATGACCTGGATGCCCTTCCCGGCTCTGGTCATTCTGGGGTGCTGGTGATGCCACTTCATTGGTTACTACCAGAACCACTTCACTAGGTAAGAAATAGTTTTCCTAGTCAAAGAGACTGGGGAAAATACGTCAAAATCTACCTCATCCCTAGCAAAGTCATCGGGATTTTATGTCCAAGGGCTTAGCTGACTAGCAAGGGCAGGGAAGAATAAACTTTTCAGTACTGTGACGTGAGTATCCAGAAAACTTGGAGGGGCACATCTGGAAGTAAACTCGGGGAACTCTTTTTCTTTGAAGAGGAAATTTTTCTGCAGCCTCAATAGTCGAGCAGTCAGCATGACCCAGAGTCACCCCTGCCCTCTCAGCCACTCCAGTCATGTCGCTGCCTTTCCTGGCGGCTGGTTCTAGAGCCCATGTGGGAGAAAGGGGGAGAGGTGACTGCCTGGGCAGAAAGGACTGGCCAGGCGCATCGTGAGTGAGCGTGATGCGCCATTCCAAGTGCTCCCAAGAAGCAAGGCAGGCGCCACCAGTACTGCCCTGGCAGGCGGAACTGCTAGAAGCTTCCTAATTGGTGTGTACACAGAGCAGATAGATTCAAGACTGCTGCCACAAGGATCGCTTCAAGCTGCCAAACCCATTCCTCATATTCCCAGATTGATCAGCGAGCTCCGGGGCCGGCTGGCTCCCTCTTTCTGTTCATGAGTTCTTTCTTAGCAGTCAGTGGCCACGTGCTGTCACACCACAAAATAAGAAAGCACGTGCCGGAGCCCTCGCTTGGCCAGGCTTTCCTCGTCAGTCTCTCCTATTAGTAGACTGTAAGTCTGGTAGAAAGAAGTGGAACATTCCTGTCAGCCCACATGGCCAGTGTGGAAACTGCCATTTCCCACCTGTGTTGGGGTTTTGTCTCAGGCATAAGGATCAAGCCAGGACAAGGCCATTCACAAATGACTTCTGTGTGGGTTCTGTACACTTCCATGGATCCTCGCAAGGCCTCTGAGAAGGGGCAGTGTTGCCATTTCATGCAGGCCTCATTTCAGTGAGCCTAGGTAACTTGCCCTGGTTCCTCTGTTCCCAGATGCCCACTCAGGTGGCAGGCTCTGGGTCACCCTGTCCCTGCGGTACAGTGGGAAAGCCTCACTTGCTCACCTGGGGCAGAGATTTCCCTGTCCAGGACAGAAGGGTTCCCTCGTGTCTCCCGCAGCCCCCAGCGCTGCCCTGTACACACTCTGCCTCTGGTCCCAGATGGGCCTGACCGGCTGAAAATGCCAGCGGCGACATATGAGAACATTGGGCAGAGGGTTAAGTGTGTGTCCTCACAGGAGCAGCAACTTAGACACTGCACATTCGTGGCACTACTTGCTGAGGAAAGCAACCACAACGTTGTGCGTGCTTTTAGGAAGAGAATGGCCAAAGTGTCTTTAATTCACTGTTTACCCGTGAGAATTACTCCCAGGAGTAATCCTGCAATAAAATCTTCTTGGTTTGTGAGAATAGAAAGAAATTGAATCAAAAGACTCTATTTCCACTTGTATTTATTCAGTCTGGGAAATTCAGTGGGCCGGAGCATTACTATCAGCAGGGGATTCCTTGCTCCTAGCGTTAAATTACTGTCATAATCGCTCAATTATTTCTTCCTTGTACTGTTTAAAATAAAAATCCATCACATTCTCTGTTTTTTGCTAGCATTTATTAGGTTGAGTGTTTAGGAAAATCAATTACAGTCAGTCAGGCATGAATTGATGAATGTTCTTGTAATAATTGTCAGTTGTTAAACTGAATGTACTTTCTCTCTTCGCCCCTTTCATTTCCTTCAGAGGGCAGAGGTGGCGCAGAGAGAGGCGGAGACCTTGAGGGAGCAGCTCTCGTCAGCCAACCACTCGCTCCAGCTGGCCTCACAGATCCAGAAGGCGCCGGACGTGGTGGGTAGCCCTGCCCCTGGGGACTTTGCCTGCCCGGCCTTGTCCCTCTGTCTTACAGCTGCTTTCTTCTCTGTGTTTTAACATCTCTGCATGGAGTCACGTCATCAGCAGTCCTGCTTTCTTGGTGGGGAATACTGGTATCACTTTGGGGCTGGAACTTGGTAAAGTTGAAGGATGAGCTTTGCCAGTGATGCATGGGAGCTTCGAGGCCAGCGTGACGTCCACCCAGAGCCACATTTAGAGGCGGGTTGACACAGGCAGGATGAGGACAGCTTCCTGGCCAGGCCTGGGGAGGCGCTAATGGCATGTGGGTAGAGACCCGAAACTGAAGCCTCACCAGAATGATGCAGGGAGGCTGAGGGCTTGTTCTCCTGGATGTGTCCTTCCAGGGTGAGTAAGAGTTCACAGTGTGCTGGGAGGGCCTAAGAGGTCATAATAACCTGCTCTGGGTTGCATAATAGCCAGAATCTCACTCACTGTGCCAGCTTCTGGGAGAAGCAAGCCACAAGTCTTGGTCCTTTAACAGCTTGATTTTCTAAAAGTAGCCCAGAGAGCTCTTAACCAGAACTTCCCCAGGTTGGTCAAAGTGGCTTTGAACTACTGGTTTTCAGCCTCTTCCTTTGGTGCTGTGCAGTGATGTGGAACAGCACAGGGAGCTGAGACCCGGGATGTTGGAGCCGCAGCCTAGATGCAGACCTTAGTTCCACATTAGCTGGTGATCTGGCAAGAGACTCAACTTCCATGATTCTCAGTTTCCCCATCTGTAAAAAGGGGTTTTACGAGTGTTCAGGAAGTTCTTATGAACAAAATCTCTTAGATCAAGGCTTGGCCCATGTCAAGACCTCAGTAACTCTTTTTGTGTTCTAGCAATTACTCTCACTGTGATTGGCACCATTATCTCTGATCCCCTGGTTTCCAGGCATTCAACTCCATCCCTAGTTCACTTAAAAACCTTAGTTTCCCCATGTTTAAATAAGGATAAGTGATCCTAAGACCCCTCTAGCTCTAACAGACTGTGAGGAATACACTTCAGTTGTGGACATCCTTTATTGCACGAAGACTTGTCGCCCCCTCACTGTGTGCTTGGGCTTGTGGTAGACACTTGTGGTAAGGCACAAGGCAAGGCCCATCGCAGGGAGAGTGCCATCTCGTCGGGAAACTGGCCACCGTCATAATGCATCTGTCGTCCTGGTGACCATCATTTCCTCCATTCCGTAAAATAGCACAGTATGCCATTTCTTGATACAGACAAGGAGTCAGAGGCTCCCCGAATGTCGACTCCTTACCCCAGAGCAGTCGTTCTGTAGCCAAGCCAAGACCCACTTGGGGCCCCTGATGTCCCAGACCTGAGCTTTTAATTATCCCCCAGGAGTGAGCCTAGAGCAAAGTCTCAGTGTTAGGACCCCCCCGAGAATGGGTTCTAGTTTTTATTTTTTTAATCAACACTAAATAAGACATGACTTAAACATTTCAGGATATAGAGAAAAGATTTCCGTTAAAGGGGCTATCACATCCTTCATATTTCATGGACTCTGGGACTTAATTCTTATAGAAATGTCCCCTTGTTATCGTCCTGTTACCGTTCCCCTTCAAGTCCAGACAGGTTGGATGCAATGCCGTGGCCGGGGTGGGAGGCAGCCCTGGGGATGGAGTTGGCGGCTTCTTCCAGCTTCTGTGGTCCACTTGGTACCATAAAGGGAGCAGTCCATTCTCATGTGTCTACCCGGGGCTCCAGAGCTCAGTGTTTGGTTGAAAAGAATCCTGGCACCATCCTGGACGCAGCAACCAAAACATTTCAAGAGGAAATGAATGTTTTCACAGGTAGGGGCCATTGTGGGTCCTCGGGGTGCTTGAACACTTCATCATCAGTTAAGTGCCGTGTTTACATGGCAGTGGTTCAGTCTCCCCGGAGCAGCCCTGCAGGGCTCCCCTTGGGTGTGCATTCCCACACAGCCAGTGGGTTTCAGCGCCAGCTAGTTGGGGAGCAAACATAGAAAACGGAGCCAGCGGAAAAACGGTCTGTTGGCCTTGGCTGGCAGAATGTGACAGAGAAACAGTAGAGTCTATAGATCTAGCAAAAGCCAAGACATCCGCTGGGTGTCTCAGAGGAATTGGCAATTTTAGAAGGTGAACGGTCACTCAGCGAGCTCCTACTCCGAGTCTCAGCCATGCTGGGGATTGATGTAGTTATTTCATATCTATCTCATGACACCACAGGCATTAGAGGAAGCTCTCGTCATTTTAGGGGTAAGGAAACTGAGGTTCAGAATAGTGAAATAATTTGCCTAAGGCCACATAGCTAGCAAATGATCAAGCTGGAATGTGAACCCAAGTTTATCCTACTTAAAACTCACCCTCTCCCCTCTGTCAGCCCACCCCTCCTCCGCGGGCACTGCATGAGGCAGCATATATGGAGTCTTTTGTAACACACTGACAGATGTCTGTTCCGGGCTCTGGAGCACCTCACCAGGCCACCTCTTTGAGCCTAAAGCAGCCGTAATATTGGGAAATAGATCCATCTATCGGGTTAATCCACCCGGTGGGATCCAGTGACTTCGCCCTCTTGGTGTGGCAGGAACTGAGGTGACAATGAGAAAAAGAAGTCAGACTGAGCTCTGTCCCACGTCTCTCCCCGGAGCGGAGACAAAACTAAGAGGAGCCCCGACTCCAAGGGTTCATTTCCCTGGCGGGGTCCTAGGCTCACCATCCCCATGTGCGGAGTGCCCTCGCACCTCGTTCTCACGCAGGGGGAAGTGACTGTGGGACACGAGGGCGTCGTCATCTCCCTGGCTTCAGCCTCAGTGTTCCAGCCTCAAGAGGACTTGAGTCACTGATGCACCTTGGGAGCGAAGGAGGCAAATAGGGTCCCATGACAAAATGTGATAGGTCAGGACATTAGTGACTTCTGTTTTGACATCACTTTTCCCTTTGGAAACACTCCACTGCCATCTTCCATTTTTCACAATGTTTCTAGATTCTGCCAAACATTTGCATGCATCTGTTCCCGGCTCCTGAGCCGCCAGCCCCCTCAAGGAGTGGAGAACCCCCTTATCCATCTTGGAAACCCTGAGCCATGGGAATTTTCATGCTGAGACAGACCCAAGGGTCACCACCCCAGCACTGGTGCCCACGAGGCCTGGTGTCATGTCCTCCCTGTCCGAGCCAGGCCTGACCCTGAGCCCCATCAGAATCACCAAGGATGTCCCTGGGCCCTGCCTCAGGCTCCCTGAATCCCAGGTTCCAGGGTAAGGCACAGACCTGTACGTTTTCTAAAGCTCCCAGAGGATTCTGCTAAGTCTTCGACAAGCAAGAGGGAGCCAGTGGTCTCAGCCCTCTTTGAACCCACACAGGCTTCAGCACATCCTTAAGAGTCTCGAGTGCTAGATGTGGCCAAGCTTTTGTCGCTTCGTCTGACCGGACCCAGGAGCTGAGCCCAGGGCCCTCTGAGTACTGCCCACACTGGGTCCAGGGGCAGCACTTTGACACGTTTTACTGGAACCCCTTAGACTTGCTTCCCTTTATAAAGCCCAGGTTCGCTTTGGCTGGTTCCACAGACCCTTTTCCCAAGAGCCCTTGAAGCCATGTTGGTGGCCGGACCCTCAGGACAGAAGGCTGTTTAGGCGGTTCAGCCCATGCTCCCTCTTCCCCCGGAGCCCCTGGGCGCTGTCACACGTCCAGGCACCTCTGGTGCGCGTCCAGCATCAGGTGCCCCCATGCTCTCTCCCTCACAGGTTAGTCTCTTGGGGTGGTGGTTCTTCAGACTCTGCTCCCTGTTCCTGCCAGCCTCCGTGCCGGCCTGCAGCATCCCCTGCCCGTCCCCTGGAGCCCACCCTGATGAGGAGCCTCCTTCCCCCTCCGAGGCCCGGCCGCCCTCCTGAGCTCTCCATCTTCCCTCGCAAGGCTCACCTCCACGTGCTGTCCTCTGGAACCTCCACTAAACTCTAACTTCCTGACGCATCCCAGGCTCCTGACGCTGGGCCTGGCCGGTGCCTTCCAAACTCTATGATGGACAGTTTTGTTTTGTTTTTTAAATTTCCAGTCTGTTGCAGACTGATAGTTTTATAAAAGACATTTAAAATGTCACCGAAATGCCAGATCGCTATAAAAGTTTCTAAACACTTATTCTCGATTGCAGTAATTGCCTTGCTGTGCACCGGCAACAGTTTGTGAGTTGGCAGTAGGCCGTAAGCACACGCCGAATGGAGCTGCTCTGGACAGTGTGTGCCTTGTAAACAGGCCGGCAGGAGATGCTCACTGGGCCCCGAGCCCCCACCGTCTGCCAGAGGTCAGGGAGGCCGAGCCGCTCACTTCACAACATCACACAAATCAGAGAAACAGAAAGCAATCGCTTCTTTGCTCACAAAACTTTACAGACTTAAATGGTAAAGGCCTTAGTTTTCCAGCAGAGAGATGCGAAAAACTATTTCCCCGGGTGGCCAGTTGTCCCCAAATGTGAAAACCCGTGACCAAGCACATTGCGAATGGAATGGCCTGGCCACACCCACCAGCCAGGACACAGCTGCCACTTTCCCCCCAGTACAGGCAAGGCCAAGACATGAAGCAGAGCACTTCACGGGGGACAACAGGTAGGACGGTGGCTTTCTGTGTTACAACGTGAGCTGCCCCCAGGTCTCTTCTGTCACAGATGCCATGTAGCCCTGCCCTCTCTACCCCCGTCCCCTTTTGTCATGCCTAGAAGTGCATCTACCCCACAGAAAAGCTTCCAGAACTACTCAAGAGCCAAATACCTTTTCTCTGTTTTGTGTATTTTCTACAATGAGCATTTGGGGGAAGAAAGAAATCATTTTTTTTTAACGTGTTATCACAAGGGTTCCTTAGCAAAGAAATGCCAAATATATATCTCCTATATCTTTTAACTTTTTTTAATGCTAACTCTAAGAATCAATTTGTCAAACAATATTCTAGCTTCTGGATGATTAAATACTGAATGCAAAGGACCTTAAATCCCAGCTTGGGGTTAGAAAATCTGGGTGCTTTACCCACATTCCAGATGCCCCCCCTCCAAGCTGCCCAGCCTGCCGTTCCCTGGCTGGAGTGCTCTTCCCTCCTCCCTGGCTCTCAGCGAGCCCTCTGCACCTCCTCCAGTTCTCTGCTCACACGTCATCATGTCAGTGAGACTTTTCCAGGCTGTCCTATGCAGCCTCCTGCCTCAGTCCCCTCTGACTCCCATGCCCTCCCTGGCTTTAGCTCTCTGTAGCGCTGTCACATTTTGTTACTAAGTGTATCTTCTGCATCTGGCCCATCCTGCCCATCTGCACTCAGCTGTCAGCCCTGCAAGGACAGGCCTTTTGCCTTGTTCACTGCTGTGTGTCTGGTACGCTGGCTGCTCAGTGCGTATCTGCCCAAGGTACACACCCAGGTGGCAGCTAACTGTGTAGAGAGGAAGGTGGAGTGGGAGGAAGGGCTGGTCGCTGACGTCCAAGCAGGAAGGGACATCCTCCCATGAGCTCACCGCCTGTGCCCTGACTTCTTTGTGGTTTCTGCCTCAGTTGCCAGCACAGTGGCCCTGAATACCTGCCCCAGAGCCAGTGCAGTTTTGTCATGTCTTTTCTCCTCCCCAGGAACAGGCCATAGAGGTATTGACCCGCTCCAGCCTGGAAGTTGAGTTGGCCGCCAAGGAGCGGGAGATCGCCCAGCTGGTGGAGGATGTGCAGAGACTCCAGGGCAGCCTCACCAAGCTGCGGGAGAACTCGGCCAGCCAGATCTCCCAGCTCGAGCAGCAGCTGAGTGCCAAGAACAGCACACTCAAAGTAAGGACGCCATAGGGCCCGTGGGCCACCTCCTAGGGTGGGAGCGAGGGAGGGAGGGTGCTGGACACGCACGCAGAGGCGCGCACGCACACACACACACCCTCTGCCAATTATAGCCTCTGTTAGGTGGCTCCAAGCAGATGCCCGGGTACTCACCATCAGTGCTGGCGTAGATGGTATTGCCCTCTTGACAGGCCACTCCTTGCATGCAGCACAAGTATCCCTGGCACTTGGTAGAAGCAGGTAGAAGTGCCCATCCTCTGGTGCCTGCCTTCATACCACTTTATCATCTGAGAGCTCTCACAACTGAGTGTCTGGTGCTCGGCCTGAAATTGTGTGTGCTTTCTCGTGTGGGGTTCAGAGTGCTGGTCAAAGTCAGAGGCCGTCTACACAGACCGGCCCTGAACCTGGCTCTGCTAGCATTCCAGGCTTTCTACGGATGCCCCCGCAGAGGACTTGGTGCACTTGAACTCTGACTTTTTCAAGGCCTGAGCTCAGTAAAAACCCAGAGGTCCATTGAGGTCATGTCTGAGCTTGCTGAAGGATGTCCCATAGCCAGCACCTCTTTCGTCTGTCCCAGGCTCTACCCCATTGGCCCAAAGCTCAGTGTTGCTTCGGCACGGAGAGCCACACGCTTGGTCTCCCTCCCCCACGAGATCCTCTTGGCCCTTCTCATACATCATTTGTGCCCCAAATGGAGAAGCCAGAACATTTTTCATATATTAAAACATGAGTATTCCATCTGGAGGTCTTGACAATCTGCTGAAGCGAGTGTTATTTGCAGAGGGTCCTAGAACCCTAGGCCCATAGGTGTCAGAGCTGGGAGGGGCTCTGGGAGGTATCTTGCTTGACAAGTGAGGAGGCAGGGTCTGCAGGCGGGAGACTAACTCCAGCAGGAACCCCTGCTGCCCGAGGGCCTATTTCTGCCCCTACCTGGCACTTCTGTGCTGAGCAGGTAGACGGACGTGTGACTGGTTGTAAGGGGCATTCATTGCATATGAAATGCAGGAGGGGCAGGGTTAGTTGTAACAATTTTCAGCAAAGTTGTTCTGACATAAAGTATCCTAGAATGTAGTTAGACCCATTTTGATTTTTTTTTTTAATTGAAATTTTCTTTCCGACGCATGACCAAATTTATCCCAGAACTAAATTTTCACATGTCTGTTGGTGGCACTCACAGCCCTCCCTTGCTAGTTTCTTCTCTGCCTCTTTGGGGTGGATTTCATCCACTTTCCGAGGAACTGCCATGTGCCAGACCCCTCTGAGGAGATGCCCTGCCAACTTTGGGGAGATGGTGGAAACCTGGTCTCAGCTGGCATCAGCCATGGGCTGATTTCTCTCATGTGTCTTGCCCGATGAGAACCAGTACTCATCTTTTATTCCTAGATTAAACCTCATCTCTCATGTTATGGCCATTTCTGACCCTAGCAATGGCATTATTAGGAGATAATTTGCCTTTCCCTCCTTTGTTCCAGTGAAAGGCCGTGCCTCAGATGCATCCTGCATTTAGCCACAAGAGAAAGAGGCTGTCGACCTTACGTTCTTTATTATAGAGCAATTTCTTCTAAATCAGTTAAGGTTTTAATGTTTGCCTTCACAAAAAATGAAGCGCAGTTTCACAAATTAATGTTCTTTACGTATCTTGGGGGAATTCTTTAATACTGTGCAGTTAATGAAACAATTCGGCAATACTTCTTCCAAAATTATTGCTCCCTTATCTCCATCTGATCTAATAATCAAAACATATCCTCTAGTAACAAGACTTCTCTGATTTTAATTATCTTAACCCCTTGTCACCGGGAGTCAAGATTTCTCTGGTATCAACCCCACATGCAAAAGGCATCAGACCTTCCCAAGCGAACGCATCCTCTCTCACCCCAAAGGAATAAGGTTAATTGAATGAGATACCTTCTTAGGGCTTTCTATTTTTCCTAATGTGTGTAATTTACAGTCCCAAATTTAAACCAAGCAGGAATACAATTACTAGGAAAAGGTTTTGTGAATGAGGCCTGTCAGACGGGCTGCCTGATGCTTCTGCGACGGAGACTGTCCCCTGGCCCTACGTTGATGGCTGCTCCGCAGCAGTGAGGTACTCGTGAAGACAGGGCCGCTTTCTCCTCCCCCTCACACCCACCCTCACGTTTTCCCTCTTGGGCCGTTTCCCTCGGCTCTAGGAGACCCCGGGACACATGATGGGGTCCGGGGCCCCAAATCAGGCTGCTGTTTGGGAGGGGACTGCAGCTTCAACTCAACCCTCAGCTTTTGGACTTGTGGGTGGTTGTGGACATTTGGCAATGGGTCCTTGATCTTTGAGACGGATGCAAACATGTTTGATGACGGTCACTTGGGAAAGGGCGTCTCCCATAGGCAGGAGGCTGAGCGGGCAGTCCTTTGTCTTGAGGTGGTTAGGGTGTTTCCCCCAGACGCTCCAGTGGCACTCTCTGTAACTGGATACATGTCGGGGCTGATAGTTGGCATGCTCTCTCCAGCCCACTGAAATGCTCCATCTTCCTGCCACTGAGGTTTTCTCCCTTCACTTGGGTTCGATTTGGTATTCTGCGAGGATACCTGACAGCTGCCTGCTCACCAGTCTGTCTTTGCCAGGGTTCACAACAAACGCGGCGCTCTCCACAGGTCGTAGTACGTCCCCTGACCTTTAAATGCACACGGAAACAGACTCAGAAGTGGGAGTTGTTTCCTCCTGCAGTCTGACAAGTGCTCAAGCACAGGGCTACTTGTAAGGGAAGATTCTATGTTTGTAATTAATGGGATAACCCGACTGCCTGAACAAGGCCGCTCTCCTTGGTAACTATTCTGTGGCCTTCTGTTGGAACGCTTTAATATAGAGGCAGTAGAATTAGGCAGTCACCTAGCACAGAAAAGAATACTACCCTTAGCTTCCATTTTAAATGGATGTTTCCATTTAAAATAGCCAGTCCTGGTGGCTCACATCTGTAATCCAAGCACTTTGGAGGCTGAGGCGGGAGGATTGCTTGAGCCCAGGAGTTCAAGACCAGCCTGGACAACATAGTGAGACCTTGTCAAAATTGTTTTTAAAATTCTTCAGGTTGGTGGTGTGCGCCTATAGTCCCAGCTACTTGGGAGGCTGAGGCAGAAGGATTGCTTAAGCCTAGGAGGTCAAGATTGTAGTGAGCCGTGATCATGCTACTGCTCTCCATTCTGGTTGGCAGAGTGAAGCCCTAATATACATATGTGCGTTCGTGCGTGAGTTCTGGCTTAAGCCAGAATATAAAAATAGAATAAAATGGTGTTTGTAAGAATGGCTAGCTAAAGGAATGCTAGGTCTCCCATGGGGAGAAATTATGTTTTCCAAAGATGCTTTAACAATCAGTGCTTCCTACTGGGTGGGTGAGCACATGTATTAGAATCACCCAAGGGTCTTTTTCCAAACTGCATGTGTTTCCCTCTGCCTCCCTGCCTCCTGAGGTTCTGATAGGTCCCATGGAGCCACTGTGGGAGGATTCTGTGTCCTCAGGGGCCTTAGGATGGGATAAGAGACTGATAACCACTTCCCTCCACTCATTCAGTGCCTTCCATTCTGGACTCAGTAAACACGCTCTAGACTCAATAAACACCCTCTAGACCCTACCTCCTGCGTAAGTCAGTTCTCTCACCCAGCAGCATGGTTCCGATGCCTGCCGCATCCCCACCCATTCCCCCCATCTGTGCTGAGCCTGCCTCCAGGGCGCTATCACTGGCATTTATGGACTTCTTGGTTTACAGAGCTCTGGTGTCCGTCTCCCATCTGCCGTTTGCCCTGTGAGTGAGCAGGACGGTGGTCATTATCTTGTGGAGGCCAGGCCTGGAGCTGCCCCGCCTGTGGCTCAGCCCCACTGACACAGTGGCCCGTGGGAGTTTTTCCACTGTACTCGCCACCACCGCGAGCCAGCAGGTGGCTGAGGAGGGAGAGTCACCTCTGGAATGGCACGAGCAGGCTCTAACATCACACATCCCAGAACACAGAGAGCCCAGGGGACATGACTCCCACAGCATTGTCCTGGCTGAGTCTCCAAGGCATGAGCACAGAGTTGGGGAAAGGGTGCAAGGCAGAAGGGCAGGCGTGGGCCCAGCACAGGAAGCAGAGGCGGGATGCGGGGGAGATCACCCTGGCAGGCAGCCCCACAGGAACCAAGGGGCTCTGCTGGGGCCTCAGGCGCGACTCCGGGTCCCTGTAATATCAACTGTAGCCAGGCGTACTGGCAGGCACTTGTAGTCCCAGCCGCTCGGGAGCCTGAGGCAGGAGGAGCACCTGAGCCTCGGAGTTCAAGTTTACGGTAAGCTGAGGTGACACCACTGTACTCCAGCCTGGGTGACAGAGTGAGACCCTGCCTCTAAAAAATATGTACATATACGTGCACACACATACACACATGTATAAATCTGCCGTAAGCCAGTCGACATTACAGAAATGCCTTAGGAAAGCTAATCGTTTGTGGGAATCTGTGGTAAAGGCCCTTGGGAAAACACACTTGCCCCATCACTTGGTGAATACACCCAGCTATTTTGCCTACAGACGGTTCCCAGCTTACGGCACACTTCACTGACCACGATATGCATCATCTGGTGACTTAGCTTTTGAGCTGGGGCCCTCCCAGTCTGAGGCGTTGACTTCTGTCTGCCCTGTGCCTGGATCACACTTGGGTCACAGTTCCTGGAAGCTGGAGGTGACCGATGGCACATTTGCTGTGCAGAGCCGCCCTTTGCCTGTCCAGAGCCACACTCCCTCAGCCCCAACGTCCTTCCTGCTCCAGTCTACAATCTGTTTGGGTGTCAGGACCCTGCATCTAGGGGAACAAGCAAGTTTTCCAATGTAACCTACTCTGGCCTTGGGGGTTGTCTCTTTTCGTCTTGCCTTCTCAGCATCCCTACAGGGCATACACAGTGCCCACCCGGTGCTTTGAAAGGTTCCAGGCAGATACAGACTCGCCGTTCCAGGCACTAGGGCCTCCTGGGCTCTTCCCCAGGGCCCAGGTCCGTAGGCCCTAATTTTACGTAACTGCTACCTTACCCTGAGGAAACGTGGAGGCCAGGTGTTCCCATTCGGGGAGAGTCCTTGTTCAGTAGACCAGGAGGTACACCGTGCACAGGCCTGGACCACAGAGATGCAGTGTCAGCTGGGGCTGCTGCTCGCTGAGGGTCCAAGAGAGGCTGACGGTCCCCACGCTGACGCCCCAGCCTGAGCCAGTGAGTCGTCAGAGAGCACCGCGGGCAACCAGGCCCTGTGTCTGCCTCGTGGCCTTTCCTCCAGCTTTGCGTTCGTCTCACGTGCCGGGGTCCCTTTGCTGGTAACCCTAGAAGACTGAGGACCGTGTTTGGAAACTTGGTGAAGATGGACATCTTTTATCAATTGAGTGCCCAGTTTGTTGTATATCAAAACAGTTCGCATTTAAAAGTAAATTTTCTTATTATTTCATTCTTAGCTGAGATTTTAAGAACTTTAACTAGATCGTTCTTCAGAGCTTCGGGCTGCAGCTGATGAGCTCCTTCTGGGTCTTGCCACCGTGTGTGCCCTCCACTGTGTTAGGACCACAGTCGTGTTTGGTTGGCACTTAGCAGCCCACGCTTGTTCATACATCGCCTCAACACTGTCCTTTAAAAACCCATGTAAGTTCTGAGCCTCCCTATCTATCAAACAAGGAACTTGAGGCCTAGACAGGCTAAGGTTATCCAAGGTCACCCTCAGCCAGGGCAGGACCAGGCTGGCAGCTGGGTCTCTGTCACTTGGCCTTCTCTCACCTCTCTGTATACCGCCCATGTGTGTTCCTCAGACATGTGCACTTTGCAGGAAGGTCACCCAGCTCCCGAATTCTGCCTCCATGGCATCGGATATGGGGCTGCCTTTGCCCATTGGCATTTGACAGCCAGAGCCAGAGCTGCTCTGGGGATATGTGCACCTGCAGCCTAGTAGGGACCCTGGGAGGTAACAGCTGGGATCTGGAGACCTTCAGGAACGGAGACCCTGATGACACAGAGCCTGAGTCCCTTCAGATCCCATTTAGTCACTTTCAGCACCGCCTCCCAGGGATGTGGTAATAGTAGTAACAACTGCAGCAACAATAGTAGCCAGCATTTACAGAGTGCTTTGCCTTGTGCCCAGCACTGTGCTGAGCTCTTAATACACAGTATGTCATTTAATCCTCACAAAAGCACTGTAACTTATGTACATGTATCCCCATTTTACAGATAAAGAAGCCGAGGCTCAGAGAAGTTAAGTCTTATCCAGGGTCACCCTGCAAGTATGTGGCAGAGCCAAGATCTCTCAGACTCTGGAGCCCAGGTTTGCTGAGAGCCCCAAACCTGGCCTCGGCTACCCACTGTCTCCCTTCCTCTCAGACCTGCTGTGGGCGGGCAGGGCCAGCCTTGGCTCCATCGGGGTCTGCAGCGCAGAACCCCAGGGAGTCTTTTCTCCCACTGGGCATTTCCAGCAAGAGGCCAGCGGGAGACCCACGTCGCAGGGACTTGCTGCTCTCCCACCTCTGCAGATTCCACTTGGGGCACTCCCAGGAGGTCGTTCCTGGGGAGACCTCTGTGGGGCTGGGTCACAGGTGTTCTGCAGGTCGGGATACATGTCAGGCAGCCTCCGCCAGACTCCGTCCTGCTTGGCTGCCCTTGACAAGAAGTGTCAGTAGAGGGTTACGGAAGTGGTCTTGGGGAGTTCCTGACTAAGCAGCCCCAGGTATATGGCGGAAATGTCAGCGGAAGCCGTTTGCTTTCAGTGAGAGCTGTCACATCTGACTAAACTACAGTCGAGAAACATGTCATTAGGTGAGCTCATGGTGCGAACATCACAGTGTATATTTACACAAACCTAGTTGGTATGTATATTTTTATTTGTAGATTTTTTTCACATGGATAACATAATGCCCCAGCACTGAAGTTACAGAATTTCCATCGTTTCCCCCACTGACCTGCAGGGCCAGCATCAGAGTCCATAGTTCGGGTTTCTGTCAGCTCCTCTAGCCTCTTAGGGACCACCATCATATATGCAGCCCATTGCTGACCATCATGTGGCATATTACTGTGCACAGATTCCAATCCTCAAGGCTTCTCTGATCAGGGCCTATCACAGGTCTTTAAGAAGACCTGTAGCCGTGCCCTCGGGGAGATTGTGATGAACTCAGCAGCAATGAGGCCCCAGAGGTGCCAGCATCTGCACTGGCTCTTTGTTTCGTGTGACTCGATGATTACTGTTATTCCCATCTTGTGGATGAGTTTGTTTCTTGCCCAAAAGCACCCAGCTTGTCAGTGACAGGCTTGGACTCTAGGTTCAGGCCATCGGCCTTCCTGGCCTGTGCCACTCCAGGCTCTGAAGCCCTGCATGTGCTCCTCTCTCTCTGCCCTTCTTCCAGCCTTCTGTTCGCTGGATACGACCAAGGTTATGTGTGCTTCACGTCCAGCTGCAGTGAATGCCACAATCTGACGTGTGATCTGTGTCCCAGCAACACCGTGACTAGTTTCTGCAAGGGAGGGCTGGCTCTTGAGCACTTCTTGCCATCTGACTTCTTCATAAGCACCTTCTGAGAATCCTTTGTAGGAAAATGAGGCCTACTGCCTCCTGTTTGATTATGACCGAAAAAGCCGTTACAATATATAAAGTTGGCAAGATGTTTTAAAAGGAACTAGAGCAGAGCGATTTTATGCAATGGAAAATGCACATGCGAGAAATTGCCAGTAAAAGCAACAGAAAAAGACAGGCTAAATGAAGTTTACTGAACACCTGAATTCTTAAAATAGCAGACAGGTTGGGATTCAGATGGCCATCTCCTCCCCATACTCGAGAATGTTCTCTGGCAGCTTTAAACAGTGTTCTTAGTCATGTCTGCTCACACAGAATCTGCAAAGGCACCTAGATGCCCTGTGGACAGGACGTGGCGTTTGCTTACCTCAAGCTTGCAAACACACGGAGCAGCCGGGACCCTCTCCCAGGTCCCCGTGTCCTCTGTTGAGCTGCCACGTTTCCCCGAGGAGCTCCCTTCGGGCAAGGGCGAAAGCAGACCAGTCCAAACGCGCCTTCACGGAAGGAAGCTCCCCGGGCTGCAGGGCTGTGGGCAGAAAAGCCACATCAGCACCCGGTGGGCATTCAGACTTTTCTGGAGCATGGCAGAGCATCATGGTGCTGGGAACACGTACCATCACTCCCCAGGGCCCCTGGGAGAGCCAGGGAGTCACCTGTGCTTGCCGAGGCCCTACTGGCCAGGGCTACCTGAGACGGAACAGGGCCCTCCCCGCAGGACTCGGGTAGGCTGGCTGGCAGGGAAGCTAGCTGAGCAGGCCTCCGCTCCTAAACTCTCAGCAGCCAGGAGTTCAAGAGTACAAATGCCTTTTCCTGATGCCTGCTGGATACCGATGCTCAACAACAAAGGACTCGTGTCTGGGCAGCAGGGGCCCCAGCAAAAATGTGGGTAACCAGTGGTACGAGTCAGCTAGCTTAGCGTATGTTGTGAAAACCACAGCCTGCCTTTCAGTCACCAGGAAAGCTTCTCTTCCCTCTGTTGGCACTTTGCAGCATTTCATTACACAGTGGACGTTTCCTCGTCTGTTTGCCGCCTCTGTAAAGATTCTTCCTTGTGCTTTTGTTAAGTTGTATGTTACAACCGTACAACTGGTCTATTGCCCATGCTCACACTGGGTAGGCCAGACTGTGCGGGACAAAAGACGCCCCTTTGCCGCTGGCTCCGTCCTCACCGGTCGTCTGCGTCCGCGCAGCCTGGCTCCCCTCTCGGGGACGGCTGGGCATTCCCAGGGAAGGTGTCAGAAGTCCCTCTACCTGTTCTCAGGATCACCACTAATAAAAGTCCTGTCTTTACAGCAACTGGAAGAAAAACTCAAAGGCCAGGCTGACTATGAAGAGGTGAAGAAAGAGCTGAAGTAAGTATGGAGGCACCGTGGACCTCGCAGGCCAGGCACGTGAGGGCTCTGCTGGCCCACGCCGCACCAGCCACAGCAGCCCGGGCTCCTGCGCGCGGCTCGTTGAGCACAAGGACATTCACCTGGGCTCTGCCTACATGGGTCCTGGGCACCCATCATTGTGGGTATTTGCCCTCGGGTCCATCCTGGATTCTTAGGACTTCTGTCAAACTTTGTGCCTTTCAAGTATTCTAGCATGCTCAAAATCAGGGCAGATATTGCCTTCACAGAAATGATGAGATACAAGCTCGTTTTCCAGCTAAAAATTCTCCAAACAAGTCGAGCAGAGGAGGGCAACACGTTGGGGTTGAAGGCATGCACGTGGCCTCACACGACCCTGGCCACCTGTACTCAGACCTCCTTCTGCTAGTCTCCATTCCCCATCTGCCAGGCCGCAGCTGAACAAGGCCGAATGCTGACATCCTCAAGCTGTGAAGTTCTCCTCTCAGGCCCCGGTGCCCAGCCCGGCCCCTCCCCTGTCTCTTCCCCACAAGCCTGCCTCGGCCTTCTGGGGCTCCCAGACCCTGGTCCCTCCCTCCTCCCCTAAGTCCATCGTGCTTAGACTCGCTGGCCTCTTCCCCCAGCCTGGAGCAGTGGCCAGCCTCTCCACATGGACGCAGCTCCCCCCTGCCACTCCGAGCCTCAGCCCTGGCTTCTCCGCGTCACTCCCCTTGTTAAAGGCAGTCGCGGCTGTGTGTGGACTGGCCCCGCAGGTCCCTGTGTGCCTCCTCTCCTGTGGCACTCACCCGGGCTCCTCCTTGCCTTCGCCGCTCTCCTCAACCCCAGCCACACCCCACCCTCCCTCTGCAGACGCCTCAGCCCTCTGCTTCGTGGAAGGACAGACTCCTTCCACACCCTTGGCCTGGAAGCTCCCTTCCCGCTCCTTCCTGCTGTCCATCAGCCGCTTTTTCTCTTGCTGATGGTTTCAGTCTATCCTTTGGAGACAAGTCTATGCCACTCCCGGTCGCCCTTTGTATTCTCAACTCTGTTCCCTCAGACCCACTTAAAAAGCTCACTGGCTGGCCTCTCACGCCCATGTCTAGCCTTCTGTGGCCATGACTTCCTCCAACCTTCCCAGCGAGGGGACTCCTCTGGCCCCTTAGTCCCTGTCCACGCTGTGCCCTCTCCCTGAGATGGTCTCACTCCCTTTCTGGCTGCAGAGGCCTCTGCCGGCACCTCTTTGGACGGACCCAAAGCTCTCCAGTCGTCCCTGCCTCTCTCGCTTCCTTTTACCTGGTTGACCTTCTATTCTGGCCTTCCCTCTCCTGGTCTTTCCTTCCTTTCCCAATTCCCGCTTCAAAGAAAGAAAGAAGGAATGAAGTTAGGCCTGCTCCTAGTTTTGAGCCAGAGAAACTGCAGTGCTGGCTTCTGCCCAGTCCCGCCCTGGGAGTCAGTCTCATTTCGCCTCCTCCTCCTCCTCCTCTTCCTCCTCCCTCTCCTCCTCCCCCTCCCCACTTCTTCCCCCT